AGCGCGTGGCAAGATGTGACCGCCCGGCGATCGATATTGCTATGCGCACATCTCGCCACGCGCCCGAATTGGGCGGTAGGCCGGCCTAAGACAACGATTTTTAATAATTAATTACTCGTTAACTATTACGAAAATTGCAAAATGGTATAGGACTTTTCCATTCATCTCGATCCGTTCTATCTTCTCAAAAATTTTGTCGGATATGGAAAGACTCACCCTGTATATTGAAAAAAAATAAATTAGAATAAAATAGAAGTTTATGAAAATATTTATATACGTATGTAACATATATATGCAGCATTAAATTCGTATTGAAATGTTAATAAATTTCAGACAACGTGCAATTAGGAGTACATAATTATAAATTCATTTGTCAAATTTATGAAATTTACATTTGTCTAGTGTATCGATATTGACGAATGCAAATACGAGGGTGCCTGCGGAAGGGGTGCGTTATGCGTGAATGTACCAGGCGCGCATAAGTGCGAGTGTCCTAACGGATACGACGGAAGTCCCGAAGAGGAGTGCAGGGATGTCGACGAGTGCCTGAGGAGTCCTTGCGGGCGTTCCGCTCTCTGCACGAACGTACATGGTAGTTTCCGATGTTCTTGTCCCGATGGAATGAACGGTGACCCGATGGCAGGTTGCCACGGTGAGTCTCGAAAATTTTTAATTACGGTTGTAGCTTATTACGAGTGGTAAGTAAGGCATAGAATTTCTCATGCCGTGCAAACATCTTAGACGTTATCTATGTGTTATTAATTATCATGCTTCAATAATGTAGCATTGTTCATCATTACTGACATAACCAAGGGGTAAACCGCTGACCAAAATCATATTACAGGCCTACTAATGTTCATTGGACATTACTGCCAAATTTGTATGCCCTTATTCCACTTATGTCCCAATAACCCAGACAGCACACATGTCTAAAAGACATCTTTAAGACGTCATTAAGTTATCTTTTAGACATGTACGCCTAAAAGGTGTCTTAAAGATATCTTTATGGCGCCTTTTAGACATGTGTGCTGTCTGGGAATGCTCAAGTTTAAGTAAAAGCCCGAGCAATATTTCTGTTTGTTTCAGTGATAGTAAAATGAGAAGTGTACCCAACGAAAACTGACTCGTCGATCGATGTCGAAACGATGTCGATGTCGATTCGACGAGTCATTTCTCACTAGGTAGTACATATTATATAACAAAATGTAATATGCGTTGTAGGAATAATATATTGTATATAGTGTTAACATCTTGGTTAATATACAATATTTAATGTTTTTTGTAATGTCCCAGCAAAGTCTAACAATGCCCCTTAATGTTCACTAATGCCCGAGCAATGTCTAGCAATGCCTAGCAATGCCACGAAATTGTACACCGCAGCACCTTCGACAGTTTACCCCTTGGGCATAATATCTTAACAGAATATTAATAAAGAGTTTATTTTGATTAAAACGCATCGGCGAAAATGGTAGTTTCTCTAGAATCTGGATTTCAATATTGTTGGTATTGTTGGTCTGTGTGTAACACATTTATGACTGACAATTCCGCTTGAACTCACAAACCCCCACGGTCGCGCGTCTATCCGAGTCCACTAACTGACCATCACTGGCAGATGTGAACGAGTGCGAGGAAAGTTCGCCCTGCGGTGCGGAGTCGGAATGCGTAAACACCGAGGGTAGTTTCGAGTGTAGATGCCACGCCGGCTACCGGATGGACCCCGCGCACGGTTGCATCGACGTGAACGAGTGCGTCGGCGGGGATGCTTGCGCGGCCAATGCGAGGTGCATCAACGTCCCGGGCTCGTATAAATGCATCTGCCCCCCGGGTTTCGTCGGTCAGGGACTAACCCGCTGCGAAAGTCAGTCATAGTCAAGCTCTCACGTAACGCTATTTGTCACATCGCATGCCATAATACGCTCATCCTGTGATTAACAATATTGATTAACAGACGTGAATGAATGCGAGCGCAACCCCTGCGGTGAGAACGCCGAGTGCATCGACACGATCGGCAGCTTCGTCTGCAGCTGCAAGGCGGATTACACCGGCGATCCTTTCAAGGAGTGCAGCGGTTAGCTTACCGATATCTTCTGTCCTGCGAGATATTTCTTTCGCGGGAATCTCTTCACCGCACGATCACAACGGGCCGCGGTTCCGAAAGTGTTGGACTGTCAGAATGCACTGTGCCGCATTAATATCACTTTAATACGTTTGCTCTCATTACTTCTTAAACGTTCATTTACGATTAGATTAAAAATGGGCTACTTTTAAAAGTTATATCTATTTTTGGTAAAGTGTCAATTTCTCTTTGTTCATAACACACAGAAGGCGATTCTGCTCTTTTAAATTTCTCATCTCGTAGGATTTTTCTCTGTTACAACAGTATTGTTTTTCTTTCCTAGATATCGACGAGTGCGCGGCTTTGGAGAATCCTTGTGGTAGAAACGCGATCTGTAAGAACGAGGAGCCTGGTTACAACTGCCTCTGTCCGCCGGGGTACAGTGCCAGCTCCAGCCCGGCAGCCGCATGCGATCAGGTAATAATTCAATAACCCCGTTACGTACCCGTCTCGAGTCACCTCACGCATACGTATGTGGACAAGATCGTCCACGCGAGAGACGTCTCGGGACAAATATTTCAAAAGGAGACTTGCTCCTTTGACCGGCCCGCCGTTTCTTTCTACAAAGGCGACGGATAAAAGGAAGCAAACGAAACGGAGATGACATCGCGCACAAAACAAGATGAGCGCGAACCGGTTTTACTTCGTTTACCTCTTTTCCAAACTATTTTCGTCGTTTCTAAAGCCACAAACTGACTCATAGCTCTATTTATTATGGACGTACGCTTTTTATTTGCGTGTCTAAAAGATAACCGGGTATACGGGCGGACGGGACCGGTTCTCATTTCCAAGTACAATGCCTCCGAACGCGACAGGAATTAGGGATGCGAGACGATAGAGCGTCAATTCCATCGGATCGTTTTCAGACCGACGTGACGACTCTCTGCAAATCGAATTTCGACTGTGTCAACAATGCCGAATGCATCGAGGGACAGTGTTTCTGCAAGGATGGCTTCAAGGCCGTCGGTGCTGAATGCGTGGATCTGGACGAGTGTCTCACTAATCCTTGTGGGCCGGCGTCGATCTGCACGAACACCAGGGGAAGCTACCATTGCGAGTGTGAGTCTGGATTTGTTGGCACTCCGCCCCACATACCGTGTAAAGGTAATCTTAATTACACGTATTTCCAATGATATTATGTATACATATACACACAATAAATTAAAAATATTATAAAAAAGTAGTTGGTTGTAAAGGGAGAGAGAAAAAGATTATAAAGAGAAGAAAAGAATTCTTATGGGAAGAAAGTAACAGTTTGTTATAATTTTTGTTATTTCACAGCACCATGCGATGAGGTAACTTGCGGCGAACACGCCTTCTGCAAGGCTGATGGTCACGAAGCTTATTGCATTTGCGAAGATGGCTGGACCTTCAATCCAAACGATATTGCGGCTGGATGTGTTGGTAAGCATACAGATACTTCTTTTTTTTAACAAATTGGAATATGCGAAAATTCGTCTTCGACGTACCACATAGAAGCTTTGCTTGAACGAGTCAAGTTTTTAACGCGATTTTATTTTCTTTCCTTAGACATAAACGAATGCGATGCGATAAACGGACCTTCCGGAAGATGCGGCAGAAATGCCATTTGCACGAATACACCTGGCGGCTTCAGTTGCCACTGTAAACTCGGATACTCAGGAAATGCCTTCAAGCAGTGTATAGGTAAAATTTACGCGAGATGAATTATTAATTACTCGATCGACGGTTACTCATTTCACACAAATTATTAACATATTATATTTACGCGAATACATTTATTTATAAGAATTATAACTTCAGTTACTTTTGTACTTCTTGTACTTAATTAATTTTAAAATAAATACAGATATCGACGAATGTACCAAATCTGATGTTTGCGGGCACGGAGCAACATGCACCAATACTGAAGGTTCTTACAAGTGCACTTGTCCGAAAGAAACCATACCGGATCCTGATCCTTACATTAAGTGTGTTGGCATAGTCAGATGCGAAGTTGACGACGATTGTCCAGGAAATGCTATTTGTGATCCACAAAAGAGATGCTTGTGTCCCGAGCCCAACGTCGGAAATGACTGCAGACGTAAGTGATGTAAAATATTCTCCTTCGGAAATTAAATGAGATTAGAACATTTTACGGTCAAACATAAAAAGTTTGTTATCTTGGCTTTCAGGCTTTCGCGGCTGTTGTCTTCTTTAGTCTTCATGGCTTCCGGATGGTTGCCGCGTCCGTTTGCAGTGTGGTGCCGACGTTTCGCAGGCGTTGCAGTCTGCATCATCAGGGCTGG